AGCTTGCTAAGCATGTGAAGTTTGAAATGGAAGTTGATGTTTCTATATACAAGTGTCAAAGAGCTAAGAAAATTATTAAAGATGAGCTACATGGGAGTTACATTGAACAATATAAGCTGTTGAGAGGTTATGGTGAGCATATGCTATCTACAAATCCTGGGTCTACATGTGTTATTGGTACACAAAACTGTCCAGATGTTATGTATCAATTCAAGAGAATATACATGTGTTTTGATGGCTGTAAAAAGGGTTGGAAAGCTGGGTGCAGACCAATTATTGGGGTGGATGGTTCTTTTTTAAAAGGTCCCTGTAAAGGTATATTATTTTCTGCCATAAGGAGAGATGGGAATAATCAAATGTTCCCATTAGCTTGGGCTGTGGTTGACACCGAAAACAAAGACAATTGGCAGTGGTTCATGGAGTTATTGAATATTGACATCGAATTTGGTGAAGGAATGGGTTTAACAATAATATCAGACATGCACCAAGTATTAACTAGTAATTTGTACTTAATGATGCATATTTTATTCCATTAACTAGTTAATTATGTCTTGACTTATTTTAACCTGCTTTTAGGGAATAATATCAGCAAGGGAAGTTGTTTTTCCATATGCAAAGCACAGATACTGTGCAAGGCATGTATACGCAAACTGGGCAAAGATTTGGAGAGGGGAGGAATTTAAAATAAGATTCTGGGCTATTGCTCAAGCTAGCTGGCCAAAGGAGTACGAGCACCAAATGATGCTGTTGAAGAAGCTATTTGAGGCTGCTTGGACAGATTTGCAGAGATATGATCCAAAAAAATGGTGCAGGGCATTTTTTGATGAAGAGCCTTATTGTGATATGGTTGACAACAACATGTGTGAGTCTTTCAATTTTTGGGTTATGGAAGCAAGGTACTTGGCTATTATCTCCATGGTTGATACTTTAAGGTCTCAAGTGATGGAGAGAATTGGTGAAAAATATGCATTCATTCCTAAATGGAAAGGTGATATTGCACTAAGAGCTAGAAAGAAGTTAGAGGCCAACAAGAAAGAGTCATCTTCATGGAAATTGGTTTGGGATGGAAGAACTGGATTTGAGGTGAAGCATGTATGGCTGGAAAATAGTAACAGACATGTGGTTGACTTGATGAAGAGAACCTGCGCTTGTAGAACTTGGCAAATGAATGGCATACCTTGTCCACATGCTGTATGTTGTATGTACCATGAAAATTTGGTACCTAAAGACTTTGTTGCTGATTGGTACAAGAAAGAGAAGTATGCCCTAGCTTATGGCTTCCCTATAAAGGGAATGTGTGGGGATAAGTCATGGCAAAAATTTCATGGTGAGCCTTTGAATCCACCCCCGGTTAGAAAAAGGCCTGGAAGGCCAAAGAAAAATAGGAGAAAGTCCAAAGATGAGCCCAAAAAAGTGTCT